TCCCGAAAATAGTATTTCCCACGGAGGACGAGAAATTTGAACCGCAATTTGTAGCGCGGTTCCATATGATTCCGCCTCTCAACTGCCCTCAGAGGTTTATGGCGGTGGCTTAAGTTGATAGGCCAGGCCCTTGCTGCTGCGATCTTCGGAAGCGGTTCCGTGTGTGAAGCGAAGTCAGACGCCAGGTGGCAGGCATAGTGTATGCTGTACGATAGTGGATGAGAGGTTTCAGGACTTTGACTGTCGGACGAGCATGCGTCTGCACCCGGGAGCAGCCGCGTCCGAGGTGTGTGAGCGTGGCAGTCGTCAGAGCGTCTACAGCGCAGTCTTTGTGTGAATCAACCGCCGGGAGGTGATTGGCCAAACCGGATTGTGATGCGTGCGCAGCTGCCAGCAGCCGTAAGAGGCAAGCATTGCGCGCACGCAGATTTGGACCACTACATGTTCACCGGAATGGGGAAGAAAGTACTCCAAATCTGGGTGAAGGAACGAGCGAGTGAATCAACTACCATTTGCGTTTACTGGCTGCCTTTCTCTCTCCCTTATTTTAGGTCCTTCGCGAGGCTCACGAAGAGCAGAAGCGAGAACTGAAGCAGATCCAGGAGCGTGAAAATAAGGAGATGAAAGCACAACAGACTAAGATCTCAATCGAGTCCAATCGAACGGTTATGTGCGATCGAAAGTTGAAGAATAAGGCGGAGCGAGACAGGCGAATACGCGAACTGAACGACTACAATACGAAGCGCTTCATCGACCAGCGCAAGGCTCAGGCTCAACGAAACGAACGGCAGGTACAGGAGCTGCGCAAACGGCACGACGAGGAGGAACAGGGTGTCGTCACTGGCGTTAATAGGGTAAGTTTCCACCCTCGCCCAACCACCACATCCCCCTTTCAGTCCAGTTTGTATGCCCATCGGTGCTCCAGTAGTGCCTAGTTAAATTAGTTTTCCGTAGTACTAATAGTGAAAAGGCGATTCCCAGTGGTGGTAAGTCAGAATAAGCAAGCGTGGGTAACGATTCCTTATAAGTGGCACCACAGTGAAAGAAAGTCCCATGTTTGTGTAACAGGGAATCGGTAGTAAAAGGGGTTAGATGGGTGGATCAAATCAGAGGAAAGAAAAAAACGGAGCGTATAAAAGTTGAAAATAATAGAAGTAATTGTTTAAGTAACCCAATATTTGCGCGCGACAATTAAAATGAGCAGTACAACCAATAGGAAACAAGAAGTCCGCATTGTAAGTCTGCCTTCCTCTTAAGACCGTTTAGGCTGGTGATACAGTCATCTCCTACTCCCCACATCATCATAAACAGTGGAACAATTAACAACCCCCAGGCCTATCTCCACATTTACTTGAAGCACAGGTGGCTACAATTACGGCCGTGAGAAACAAAAAAGATCGATACGAGGGCCGTCCCTTGCTTGGCCAATCGGTCCAACTCCCTTGACATCGGGCGAGCGAGCACGCGCGTGTGTGTATGTGAACTACTGAGACTTGAAGAAACCACAGGACGCCAAAGATTTCCGTCTGGGGAGTGCAATGAATTGGTAAATACTGAATAAGTTCACAAGAAAACAGGCTTACTACAAAGAAATAAGTAGTTATTAATATATAGTAAACTACAGTGTTATATATAAAGAACCGTTACCGAAGCGCGTTCACCGGAAGAGGTTTATTGTGGATCTGGCGTTTCGGGTAGATGTTTCGTCTACCTTTTTTCAGAGTCTTAACATTTCCGCTCATGGCTCTCCTTATATGCTGAGCCGTTGTGTGTGGCTCATATCTCACTGTTGCTTGTGTCTCCGCTATCGACTTCCCTACTTGTTGTATCACATCTCACCCTGGCTTGTTTCACGTCGACGTCGGCTGCAGAGGTATTTTGCAGCCCCTACTTTAAAGTGCAATGAATGCCTCGTGATAAGGTTTTTAATAAAAGATAGGGGGTAGGGAAATTAATATTGTGGTTTATTGAACAGTCTTTTAACCGATCGATGAACGCATATCTTCCTTTATGCATATAACGAGAGTCAAAAACCGGAATGTTCAGTCTCTAAGGACGAAACAACTATCCGAAACGTCGGAAGCGCAGATGTAGATATTTGTTCTATTACAATCAAGTTATTTCGAAGGATGTCAATTAAGCCAGTCTGCCTGATACTTACCTGGCCTCATATCCCGAAGGCCTGTCGTTTGAATGTGATCTGGCTAGGGAATTCGGGGCCAGACGTCCGTCTTCTTGTGTTACATCCGCAACGCCGCCTGCTCTTGCCCATCATTCTTCCCCTGCTAACCACATTCATTGTATCCTTCTCTTTTAGGAAAGAGACGAACTGATACATAGCTATCAAGAGGAGCTCTTGGCCAGCAAGCGCACGACCGTAATATGATCCTGGCGCTGTCATGGCTGCGTCACCCCCACCTCGTCCACGTCAATCACACCGCGCCCGACGGTCATGCC